GTCAGTTCGTATTTATATTCAAATCCGAGCTTTCACAGTTCCCAGTGTGTTTCTTTAGTATTTTTTGAAGCTGCTCTGACAGTCTTTCTCAAAACTGTCTCCAGGAGCAGCAGTATGAAAACCTGCAAGGAAACAAAGAGCTTCCCACACTGTTGGCTCGGGGTTTCGGTAATCAGGGAGGGGTTTGTTGTGTCCCACGGATGCAGGAGGATGAGGTTGAGGGCTCTGACATTTGGCTGCGGTGGTTCTGTCACATCCTATCAGCGGTGGGAACCAACGTCCCAAAGGAGTTCATCTCCTGTTAAATGGCTCCTTTGCATCCTCCCGTTGAATCATGGAATCATTTGAGTTGGAAAGGACAGTTAAAGGCCATCTGGTCCAACTCTGCTTCCTGCAATGAACGGGGACCCTACAGCTCTATCAGAGTCCCGTTCAGCTTGACCTTGAATGTCTCCAGGGATGGAGCACCCACCACCTCTCTGGGCAACTTGTGCCAGTGCCTCAGTGCCCTACTGCAAAAAGTACTTTTTTCCTTTTTCCTTGTATTCAATCTACACCTCCCCTCTTTTAGTTTGAAAACATTTCTCCTTGTCCAATCACAACGGATCCTCCTAACGAGTCTGTCCTTTCCCAGAGGTTATTCCGGGCTCCTCCCTGCCTTTTCTATCCACTTCTCCTGGCTGTGTAGCCATAGGAGGAGGAATTTGGCTGTGGGTTTCTGCATGCTCCTCTCAGCACTGAGGTAACACAGTCTCTGACCTCCTGTGTTCCCGGACCTGCCATACCACAGGTAGCAAAGCCTGAGCCATTACTCATCCCCTGATACTCCGCAGTGAAGGATGGAGGTCACATCCCTTCTGACAGAGGTCCATCCCCTGCCCTCAGCCTGGGCAGGGACATGTCACCCAGATTGGCTGCTGTATTTAAAGGAGGATTTCTGTCTGAAGCTCCCACAAAAGCCACACGCACACACCAAATGATTCCCCTGTTGCTCTCCAAACCCTTCTTCTTCCGAGCTGGTGCAGAAATAATGAGGCAAGTGTGCTCAAAAGGACCGGTGTGTCACAATGCCTGTTGGTACAGGATGCTGGATGGGATGGGATGGGATGGGATGGGATGGGATGGGATGGGATGGGATGGGATGGGATGG